ACATACATACATACATACATACATACATACATACATACATACATACATACATACACCCACAAACATGCACACACACGCATACGCACGAACATGTGCACACCCATAATATTATACACGCTCTCTCTTCCGAGATTCGACTATACGATTGTACGTACACTTCAAGGAGGGTTAAGCTCCTTGGTACACGTACATCTCATTGTCTTTCGTTTGAGGGCAAGCTTGCAAGGAAAAATAATAGCAAGGAGGGCGTGCCTATATCTCAGAAGGTATCAGACTGGGCCATGAAGCCTCTGTTTCGAATCTCATACAGAACGGCATTGCCTTGAACTTGAGTTGTTCAGGGAGCTCTCAAGGCTCTCCGTCCACCTGGATCGGTCCTATCGGAGATGGACGCTAACATCTGAGGTCTCTCCTATTTATGTAATGTAATTGTATTAAACCTATACAATACATTCTAAGAAACGCGATCCGAAGACAGCTCAAGAAACGTGTGTTCCATTTTGTTCTAAAGACGAGATACATTGTATAAAGAATCTACTTATTTTTACTGTTACTTTTACTTGTTCATTCTCTGTTGCCGTTAAGCGTCATGGGGAGATACAGTTTTCTATGGTAGGCCAGCTTCACAGCTCTTTCAATTGGGATCTTATGATTTCTCAGGGTTTCTTTGACTCCCTCGATCCACTTTTTGCGTGGCCTTCCTCTTCCTTTATAGCCTGAGCGCTTGAAGTTATAGACTTTAGAGGTTGGCTAGCAAGTTGACCTAATAAGCTTATGTAACAGGTGGCCCAAACCATTTTATTCTCTGTCTATCTATGAAATGCAGGCAGGACTCAGTGTCAATAGTTGGTCTTGCTTCTTTACTTCTCTGCCTGTCTCGTCTTCTGATGTTAAGGGTTTTGCGGAGACATTTCATCTCGCATGCAGTGATTTTGCTTTCATGGATTGTACTTAATGTCCACTAGTAACATAATGTTGGTATGAATATTGAAGTGATAAGCCGCCTCTTTGTGTCCATTGAGATGTTTTGATGAGATATGAGGGGTATGAGCTGGTACGAGCAATCAATCCGTTTAATAATGCCTCAAACCCGTCATCTCTTGGGGATGCAAGCTAATAAAATGTACATCTACTTTTCTTGTTTGAAACTGACAGTTACTAACAGAGCTGCAATAATATTATTTTTCTGTTCAATGCGGACCGCCCAAAATCTAGTCTTGAAACCACATGTCGGCCTACATACTATTTTGTAACACAATTTGTTTTAGTAAGCGTTTTACGGCATATGCAACTCAATTAAGTCATATAAAATGCCGGAGTTTAAAAGGTGTTACAGGATTATCATCAGCATGGCTTTTCTCACCCTGCACCGGGGAATAGGCTGCGGAGAAACACTTTCCACCTTTCCTTATCCTGGGCTAGCCTCTTGATATTATTCCATGTCTTCCCACTTTTCAGTACATCAATTTCTGTGATTCTTCTTCAGGTTCCACGCGGTCTTCCTCTTGATCTCTTCCCCTGTGGATTCCAATCCAAAACTTTCTTTGTTATGTAGCTGCCTGACATCCTGAGAGTATATCCAATCCATTGCCACCGCCTTCTTCCTACATCATCCCTGTTACAGGATAGTAACAACCAAAATTTAGAAAAGGAAAGAGGAGAGATAGTGACGATAGGTATTGGACAGGATAGAAGGAGCTGTAACCTCACCAGAGCACCCGCCAACCACCAGGTATGATGCAGTGACTGTAAAAACCATTTATTTATTCGTATTTTCTTGGAACAGACTATTGCACAACTTGCACCCAGAGACCGTCACACTCGACTGACAATAATACAAAAACTGTTTGCCTCAAACAGTTCAGTTTATGGTGAGAAAATATTATTCGCAAAGCAGCCTTCGTCGTTTTTCCTTGAAAAAGTTTAAAGGAAGTAGCCCACAATTATAACAACAAAACAACAACAACAAAATATATATAAAGGAAAAGGGGAGGGAGGG